GTGAGATTCTAGATTTCTGACTAACCGCTTGACCTTATAGTTTAAGTTGTACTCAGCTACGTTAACCATGTATATGATTTCAGAGTTAATTAAGTTGTACGAAGTTATATTAGCTATCGGGGTCTAGACAAGGGGTTCTAGAAAAACCGCTGATTAATGCTTTGAGTGTTAATTAAGTTGTACGTAGCTATATTAACTATCGGGGTCTAGATAAGGAGTTCTAGAAGAACCGCTGATTAATGTTTGAGCATTACATGGGTAACTGTAGGGGGCTAAACAGACCTACTATTTAAGGTATATTAAATAGTATTAGCCACAAACCTCTGAATAAGGTTCAGACTGGCGAGTTTTGTGATCGTGGAGCCTACGCATGGCGGCCGCCGTGAGGCATCCTAAAAACGACATAGATTCCTAATGAACGAGTAAAATACAAAGTAAAGAGTTAACTAGAATAATCAAATGTAAGAATAATTAGAGACCGACAAACAACCAATTTGCCTTTCAACCAAAATTCGAAGTCATACTAAAATGGAGTCAGACTGAGTTAAACCTAAATTGAATAACTCTACGCGCTGAAAAGACCGAACACGCAAGAGACCTTCATCCGCCACTGGATACCTTCCTTGGGCCATGTGTGCGGACCTTACATTTTTTACAGCCTTGTCAAAAAGCATTGGGTGAAAAAGATGCACATTCTGCCAAATTCTGAAATAAGTGTTACAAAAGATGGAAAAACCTCACAGTTTGTTTTCATGTAAAGTAAAGTTTAAATGGGTGACAAGTACAATATATTTGATTTCCGATCATTTAAAACAATTCATAGTTCGTAATCTGCAGCATTTGTGCAATAATATTAATAAATGAATTATGAGTTTCAACCACATTTACTGCCATTAGTCATTTTACATGTTCATAAATTGAGGATTACACTGTAGGCACACCAATCTGTCTTAGTGCTTTACTTTTCATTGTACTAATTGTATTTTCTACCCTTCCTTGCTGAATGAGATTCTCACATCAAACTGAATAAAAGATAATATGTCACTTTCGGTCACATGTCCTAATTTGATGTACAGTAACAGATCTTATAACAGTAATACTAAGTGGTTTTATGGGAACGAAATTCAACACCCGCCTTGATGCAATGATTGATAGGTGAGGTTGTGAACAACAAATGCCATGGAGAACATTTTCAAATTCCCATTGAATGTTGCTACATTCATTGCATGTTGTTAAATAAAATATTAAATTGGATGTCTTAGGTGGACAGCTTTTCTACACAGCATTAATAAAATAAAATTATGTTTGTCAGCTAATACGTTTTTTATTTTGCAAATTCACAGTGAATTTTCAGTTTGTACTTTTATGTTTTAAAATGTTACACACATGGTATAGGAAACATGAACTGAAACATCAGATTAAGTTACTGTTTTAAACAATTCTTTTAAACATAAACCATGAATCCAGAACATTTAATCAGCTTTCACTGTGTTTATACTCACACAGGGTTAGATGTCACTGTTCCATTACTGAGATTAGGAGGCTGAACAATGGAGTCATTACTCTTCATAGACACACAGCTGGATACTGGAGATGCTGCTGTCTGTCTCATTCTGATGATATAATTAGCAAAGGTTATTCAGGGACTGCATGCTGAAAAAGACAATCTGCTGTTACTATTGTTTGGTTTCTTGTATCCAGTACTGACAACGTCTCACCTGGTGTCAGAGGTCACTGCTTCATTCCTGAATTCATGGGTTTGATACATTGAGTTCTCACTCTTCATAGACACACAGCTGGGCTCCTGACATGGTGCTCTCTGGTACTGAACATCCCCCTTACAGCTCTCCTTATCAACACTCATTTTAGAGATAGATTTCAGGACTGCAAGCGACATTAATAAACATCATATTTATAAAAACTGATAACATTTTGGTGTGCATGAATAATGTGTTTATGGCATATACTATAACTAAATATTATAACCAAAATATGCTGCTTATCTTTTTCCTTGTACCATTTAAGGAACAGCAAAAATAATTAATTCATTCATTAAAATCTTGAACACTGTTTTTTTTTTCTTTTTATATAAGATGTGATAGACATGTGCCGGTATTCAGTAATATGATATATCACGATAATGAACATGCACGATATTGTTATCGTGGGCATTTCAAAATACCGGGAATAATTATGTATTACAAATAATTTTTGTTTTTTTAATGCATTTTAAGAATACTTTTCGCATCAAGTTAAAATGCAAAACACCGCTGTATGTAAACAAGCCCAACACGGATGAGAAGCGCAGGCGGAACGAGTGAAAAAGCCGCACATTCACTCTCTTGACAGCAGATGGCGCTGATGGAGCAGCAGAAATGCAGCCTGCGCTACTTTCTGTTTTTGAACAGGATTTAAATGATTTAAACAGCCATTCAGATTTTTGTATTTGCAATGGTGTTCATCACAGCACTGAACACCTAAACACTTAGACTTAAAGGGGTCATATGATGCAATTTCTCTTTGGAGTGTTACAAGCTCTTGGTGCATAAAGAAGATCTGTAAAGTTGCAAAGACTAAAGTCTCAAATCCAAAGAGATATTCTTTATAAAAGTTAAGACTCAGCCACGCCTACCTAAAACGGCTCGTGATGAGCTTTGTAAAAATCGACGCATTTCAGAAAGGTGGGGGAAAAAGAAAGAAACAATAATGTACAGTATGTGGAAAATAATGTGTTTTTTTAACCTTAAACTGCATAAACACATTTCATTACACCAAATACACAAAATAATGTTCTTTTTAGCAACATCATGACCCCTTTAATAGGCTATTTTTTTTTTTTTTTCAAACTTTTTATATTTTTATCTGGACTACAGCATGCCCTAGATTACATTAGTTTATTAGTTAACATAAACTGCCAATGAAAAATTCTTCTAAAGCATTTATTAATTTTAGTTAATTTCAACATTTAATATCACGTTATTAAAATCAAAAGTTGTACGTGTATTTAATGTACCCGAGCTATCATTGTATTTTTTAACAAAGAATAATAACTTCTGTAACAAATGTAGCTATTGTTAATGCTAATGAATTAACTAAGGTTAACTAATGAGACCTTATTGTAAAGTGATAGCTATTGTTCTTTATATATATATATTTTTTATTTTTTTTTGCACTTTAACCTGTTTGAAGCATTTGTTTATTTTATACATTTTTGTGTATTGCTTTATTGGATTTAAATGTTCAGTTATTTTTGTTATAAGAAAAGTTATTGAACCTGTTACAACACTTTTTGCAACTTATTTCAATATTGTATACCGTGATAAAATCTTAAGCAATTATCACAACATTAAATTTTTTTACCGTCACATGCCTAAGGATGCATTATGCTAATATGACTCACACTTATTATCCTCTGCGAAATTAAGAGGAAGGTCAAGAATAAACACATGACAGAGCAAACGAGAAATATGGTACAAAGACCAGCTAAAACCAGTTCACTTTTAGAATGAGGAAATCTAGAATTAGGAAATACATTTACATTTAATCATTAAGCAGATGCTTTTATCCAAAGTGACTTACAAATGAGGAATACAACAAGAGATTCATCATAAAGAGACAAATAAACACGAGAAGTGCCTGTAATACAAAGTTTGCAGACATCGAATAGCACAAGCTAGAACAGGGAAATAGCTACAGTAACAAAGATAGTAGCCTATATGTAGAGATATGTAAATTTCCCATGCAGGCTTGCATAGATATGCCAAATGCCAAAACATTTGTGTCTTAGTTCTGTGTTTACCCATGAAGATTTGGCAGAATATCACATTTCCACTGTATAAATTGTTTCACTGTAGGTATTTTTGCTGAGATAAGATCAGCCCAGTGATCTGTTAACACTGAACTTACCATGAAATTATATGATCAGCTTCTTCTGTGTCTTTTCATCAACATGTTGAATTAAACATCTTTCTGTTTTAGTCTGAGTTTGGTCAGCAGGCATTCAGAAAACTGCTTCACCCACATAAATCCCGACGTTTGTCAAGTACTCACCCCACCCACAGGTACGTGCAACTTTGGTTTCGGCTCGCTTTACCGATCTGGGAAATATGCTAGTTGAGTCGGGGGAGGAGCTTCTTCTTCTTCTTCTAATAACGTTTTATGGCGGATGGCAAACCAACTTCTGGTGCATTTACCGCCACCAACTGGACTGGAGTGTGGAGCACTAATAAGCAACTAATATATATATATTTATATTTATCTATATTTTATATAATAAAAAAAAGAAAAAAAGAAAAAACACACACATTCCTAAATTCTCCTGATTAATCCTATTTCTTTAATGTATTTAACAATAGCACCATATATTTTACCTTGTTCTGCATGCTCTTTCAAGAGGTTTGACAAATTAAATGATTCAACACCCATGTTTCTTACTTCCTTAATGAGTTTTAACCTTTCTTTTTGTGCACATTTTGTGCAGTCGTCCCTGACTGAATGATTGCAGGCATTCTTTGTGTAATGTTAGGATAAAGCACAGCAAACTTCAGCTAGTTGTAGCCTATACATTGGTTTCAGTTTTTTGTGCTCTTCATTTGTAGCTTGCAATGCTTTAAAACTGTGTCTGTTATTAGTTGTTATCATTTGTTGAATACATTACTACCTGCAACAAATGAAATAAACCTATAGAAACGTATCTGTAGAGATATGTTTTGTATACTGGTGGTGTGATGATCCATGTCTTAACTTACCCCTTTCAACATTCTTCATGTTGACTGGTTGTGAATTGTCTGCTGTCTGGTTGTAAACTATGACACAATCATACACTGCTGCAAAAACATGTTGCTGCAATTTATTTCTTTTTTTCATGTTTCCAATGTAAAATAGTTCAACATTTTTACAAACAAATGTAAATTTACCAATTATTTATTTTTATGCTCTTCTGTTACCTTTTAAGTTTTAAAACTGGCATCTTCTGGCAATGAATGAAATAACCTTCACCACCATATCAGTGCCCTAATAAACATTTTGCAACCTACACTGATGTTATTCTCTGTCATCTGTACTTTGATCATGTGTTGCACTGTACCTGAATGATACACAGTGATGATAATTGATAAAAATGCATGGTGTCTATTCTAATTATATTTTAACTATTTGTTGACTTGACCCTCTAACACTTGCACTCTTTATTCGTTTTCCAACTGCTTGTTTTCTTTAAGAAAGGCCTCTAACACTAGCTTTCTCTATTCTTTTTCTATTCTATCTACTTGTTTTCTTTTTGTTATGTGTATGTATGTGTAAAGTGTCTGCTAAATGACTACATAAATAAAAGGGACCTCTAAATATAAAAAAAATTAAGTGGAATAAAGATTGGATTGTGGCCTTGGTTAGCTTTTGATAAGATGTTGGTAAAATGTGTGTTGGTGTGATTGTTTGATATTATGTGAGACAGTGACATTTTGTTTTTAAAAATATGAATTCAATAGTGATTCACACTCAAAATCCAGGAAAATGTTTGTCATGGAGGATGTGATTAATAAAGTAAAGTTTTCCTGAATTTTAAGCATGAATCACTATTGAATCCTTGTTACAAACTAAAAAGATTTATGCACCAAAACAAGACAACATAGGAGACAAGAGAGTGCGATGTTAATGTCCTTGAAGAATCTTCTGTATAAAAATATGACATAATAAAGCAAAACAATTTCTTCATTTCTTAACTTGATTCTGGCATTTGATACATGATATTACCATTCAACAGTTTAGGATTACTATGATTTTATTTTAAAGAAATTTATATTTTTGTTCTTCAAGGATGCATTAATTTAATAAAAATGACAGCAAAGACATTTATAATGTAAAAAAGATAATTTCAAATAAATGCTGTTCTTCTGAACTTTCCATTCATCAAGGAATCCTGTCGCTGTATAATGGTTTCCACACTTCATTAAGCAGTAAAACCATTTTCAACTTTGATAATAATCAGAAATGTTTCTTGAGCAGCAAATCAGCATCTTAGAATGATTTCTGAAGATCATGTGACTCTGAAGAGGAGAAGTTGAGATCTGACATCACAGAGGGAAAAACCTTTATTTTAAATTGTAAAATTATCTCACAATATTCATGTTTTTAAATATTTTTTATCTGATGCAGTTGGTGAACATGAACAAAGAACCTTACTAATACAAATACTTAGAACAGTATTGTATATATCATATCAAAACAAGCACACTTATGAACATTTGTTAATAAAATTATTTGTTTACATGAAATTACTTTCTTATTCCATTCCATAAAATGCAGTGAAGTGTTTTCTCATTTACAGTGTACCAAATGTAGGCTACTTTAAACATTTGTCTATACAATTTTGTTTAATCCAAAATTGGATTGTGTGTGTGTTGTCACAGCACAACGAACTGAAATCAAAGTAAGTTACAACTAGCTTAAGTGTGCTGAATGTCTGCAATCATTCTATCAGTGACGACTGCACAAAACGTGCAAACTAATAAAAACATTATAAACTGTTACAAAATGATGAACAAATGTAGTTTAGGCATAGGTTTGTGCAACGCTGTAAATATATTTACCTTTTTTAAAATATTTCATTAAACCTGCTGAGATACAAAGAGCGTGAACTGAAATTCTCAGTTCCACCTGGTTCCACGCACATGTCCGGGAAACTCATGAATATTCATATATGCTCTGCCCACTGAAACCAAAAATTTCGGAAACCGAAAATCTCGTAACACGCTCACACGGTGCTTTCTTTAGTGCAGTCAGGGTGGATTAGATGTAACATTTGTCAAATGAACAGACATTTGAATTCTACATGTGGCAACCAGAAACACATTTCACTGATGTACTTAATACACTGCTGCCTGTAAATTAGAACGTTCAAGATAAGCCATGTTACTTAAATACAGCCCAAGAGTTTCAAGTTACGCCCCCTTCTTCAAGTTATGCCCCTCTCTTGCAGTCCACAGACAGACCCTTCTCTGACTAGGGGCGAGACGTGGGCTGATAGGGGGCGG